ACACACGCACATATATATATATATATATGTAACTATTGACATATATGTCGACACACATATATATATATATATATATATGTATGTGTATGTATGTGTATGTACAGGTACACGTACTTGCACATGTACTTGTATATGTATGGTGCAGCGCTCCCCCCCCCCACTCCCCCCCCACCCCCCCACCCATCCCATGGTATCCCCTCCCATGTGGTTCCCCTGTCTGTGGTGTGGGTTCTCCCCGGTCCCTCCCTCAAAGATGGTGATCACGACCCGTCTCCCACTTTCCTAACGCACCCAGCCTTCAACCGAAAGTGAGCATGAAGTGACAACGGTCGGTACAATCTACGAAAATCACTCAAAGAATATGAAGCCGAACAAGCTTACGAACAAAAGTGAAAGCAACGAACATGGGGTAACTAGGGGCAGAACAGCATAAGAGCAGTAGTGCTACCAACAGTCACACTCGGATTACAGCATGCAAGAAGCACATCAGCGTCAGTGTCCTCAGCATCATCGCTATCATTCTCATTTGTGTATGTGTATGTTTATGTATATGTATATGCATCTGAATATTTATGTGTATGTATGTTATATATATATATATATATGCACATGTATATGTACATGTGCATGTACATGTACATGTATATGACTACATCTATGTACATGTATATGTGTATGTGTATGCGTATGGGTATATGTATATGTACATGTTTCTGTATATGTACATGCATATGTACGCGTTATTCTTGAAGTGCTTGAGGAGAGCTACGATGATGCGGCTCACCCGGCGCATCGAGCGCCTGCCAAAACCGATGACTGCTGAGGACCCGGTTCCTCCAAAGATGCTGCGACATTTGCAGGCTGGGAGGTGGCCGTGATTTTCGGGGATTCTGCTTGAAAGGAGCAGGAGGTGGAGAACTTTGCACTAATCAGGCTCGAACTTTGCAGATGCGTGGTTTTGCTCTAATCTTCGGCCTTGGCCTTGGCCAAGGCAGGCGGAGGGCGAAGAGGACGAGAAAGAGCACAAGGAAAACATGAAAAGCGCCTGACCCAGCGCGTCTTTCAGCTGCTGAAACCTCCTCACCCAGCCTGGCACCTTTCATGCCGAGGAATGCAGTCGGAGATGGAGCTTATGCAAAAGCAAGCTGATGACCAGGCCAGGCCCACTAGCCCACTGGTAGCATCTGAAGCGGCGCAGCGTGCGCAGTTTTGTGCAGCTATACAGCGGTGTGCAGTGAATAGCACACAAGATATGCCAGGAACAGAAGCAGATGCAAGTGCAACGGGCAATTCGTCATGAGCAGCGCGTTCAAGAGAGCTTACAAGCTGAGAGTCTCTGGCTCGACCGTGGGACGAGCTTGTGTGCTTTTTGGTGCTTCTCTTGGGCTTAAGCCTTGGGCGGTCTTGTGCCTCTCAAGGATTGAGGAGGCCAAGGCCATGATTGAGTCCATCGACGACAACGTGAGCCTGGTTGTGGCGCGGGAGACGATGCGCCAGGCGGAGGACATGAGGCGCGGTTTGCGAGGGCCATGCAGGGCAGCGAGACGGCCGCTTGTTGCGGTTTCGCCGCGTCGCCAGGTTGGCCAACACCGTGGCTCGGCCGAGCTCGACTTCACATGTCGATGCGTCACATGTCGCTGCGCTGCGCCGCTGCGCGATCTGAGGAGAAGGAGAAGGAGCTGCTCGAGCAGACCCAGGCTCGCGAACGGGCGGAGGCCCAGCTGGGCCAGGCCACCGGGCTCTTTGAGGAAACCAAGGCCGGGCGATGCCGTGCGAGGGCGAGAGGGGCCGAGAGGGGCCGAGAGGGGCCGAGAGGTGCGAGGGGAGGAGGCGGAGGTGGGGATATGTGGGGATGCTCCTGTCGTCATTGTGGGCAGCTCGGTGGTCAAGACGCGGCATTGCATCACTTAGACGTGCAGAGAAGGCATCTTCGAAGCCGAAGGGGACATGTTGAGTATGCCCTTCTTGAGTATGCTACTCAGGTCCCAGAATTCGGAGATGAAGGGGAGATCGCCGAAAATCGTTTCAGGGTTTGGGGCACTCTGTTTCCCTCTTTTTATGAAGGCTTTCTTTGCACCTTTTTTGGGAGGCGCTGGCGCAGCGCCTGCTGCGCCGACGGGCCGAGGAGCTCGAGGTCCGAGACGAGCAGAGCGAATTTCGAGTTGCCTTTTTCTTTTGTTTTGCTTGTGCCGGCTCCCCGGGGTCCCCGCTCTGCGCTGTGCGCATTCTCAGAGCGACTCCGAGCCCTCGGCGGACGAACTGGGAGATGCAGAAGGGCTCGGGGATGCGGACTCTGAAAATCCACACTCCAGGGCATCCTCACTGTCCTCCACGTCCAGGCTCGGTCCGATGGGTTTGTGTTTTCTCTAGAAAAAAACTTTAGGACGGGCTCCTTTTTGCTTCTTGCCTTGTGCAAGGCTAGTCTCGGGCGGTTTGAAAGGTAGTGCGCCAACCCGAGTGGCCCAAAGCTTCTTTCTGGATGTCTGAAGTCCGAAGTCCTTCAGCATTTCTGCTGACTTGGCTGCCAACTCTCAAAAGCGCTACAGTGCAGCGCCTTGACGGAGAAGTCATGATTTTTCTTGCTGGTAGAGTTGCCTTCAGCATCAGCTTGACCCTGGCAGGCTGGACTCTCGAAGGCTCGCAGGGGCAGTGAGGGCAGTGAGTCTGGATACGAGGGAGGGGGGACTTAAGGGGGGGCCTACATAAGTCCTGCGCAGGACGAGCGAGAAGTTGGTGACCGGGCAGGTGCTCGAGCGACTCCAGAAGGCCCAGAACTTCCCCCAAAGCTTGGCCGCTGCCGGCCCTGCCGAAGACAAAGGCTCCCTGAAAAGAGGAGCCGAGCAAAGCGCTGTCATGAAACTCCGGCGGCAATCCATGAGCAAAGGTGCCGCGGCCCTGGCGGACATCTTAGGACGTGTCGACAGGGAGGCAGGTCTGGGCGCTAGCGGCAGCCCCATGCACGGTGGCGATGCATCCCCTCAGTCCTCCAACACCATTCGCACGTCGAAGTCCGGGCGACGGCACAGCGCACTCAACGCTTTCGGCATGGCCGCACAAAGGGCGGCTGGAGAAGCTTCGGGTCGCCGCATGTCTGGAATGTCGGGGCAACGTGCGGCTCTGCTGGCCGTGGGCGGTTTCATGAAAGGCGTCAACCAGGCAGACGAAGGAGCTGAGAATTCACCAGAATCTGGCAAAGGCTCGCCCAGCCACTCGAAGTCTCGTGCTGACCAGCTCGAGCCAGCTTCGCGAAAGGACGGCCGAAGAACGACTCTGGCTAATATGCTGAGTAGTGCCGCGAAGGCTCAGGCGAGAGCACGCGCCGATGCCGACGAGGATTTGGAACTGGGCATCAGCAACTCAATGCGCTCGCCCGGAGGTGGTGCGGACTCTGACGCCCCGCAGCCCTCGCAGTCTCTACGGACTCCGAAGTCTGGTCGACGGCACAGCGCACTAAATACCTTGGGAATGGCCGCACAAAGGGCGGTTGGAGACGCTTCGGGTCGTCGAATGTCTGGAATGTCGGGGCAACGTGCGGCTCTGTTGGCGGTGGGTGGTTTCATGAAGGCCAGTGCTCACTTTGCAGATGAAGAGGTTGCGGCTTCAGGAGACTCGCCCGAATCCGGCAAAGGCTCGCCAACTCGTTCAAGGTCTGTTCGTGGCGATGACCAGCCGCTTGAGCTAGCTTCTCGAAAGGGCAGTCGACGAACGACTTTGTTCAATGCGTTGAGTAGTGCTGCAAAGGCCCAAGCAAAAGAGCGCACTGATGCCGAAGAAGACTTGGAACTTGGCGTCAGCAACTCGATCCGCACGCCTGGAGGTGGGGCGGACCCTGACGCTCCACAGTCGTCGCAATCTTTGCGTATGCAGTCGAAGCCTGGACGACGGCACAGTGCACTCAATGCCTTCGGCATGGCCGTGCAAAAGGCCGGGGATTCTGAAGCCCCGCAGTCCTCCCATTCGTTGCGAACGCCGAAGGGGCGACGGCACAGCACTCTTACCTTCGGCACAACTGCGCAGGGCACTGCGCAGCCCGATAACACCGAGCCGGGCCGCCGACTGTCTGGTCGCACGGCGCTGCTGGCAGTGACGGGTTTCATGAGGGCCAACGAGGGCCCGGCGGAGCCGACACCGTCGCCGACACCTTCGAGGTCTCTTCGGGGAGCACTTGGTTGAGTCGGAGCAACGCGCGCCGAAGACCGGCACTGGAGCTCTGGCCACGAGTGCTTGAAGATCGTGAAGCAGGGCTCGACCCTTCGCGATTGCACTGGCATCTGGGCTGTCACTGTGTCGACACCATCGACTTCAAGATTTGGTCGGGCATGGGCAGCGCGGGGTGGCTTGCGGCGCGAGACAAAAGACGCTGGGAGTCCAGGCGAAATAGAGAAGCCCGGCTCTTTCGGAGCACTTGAACCGGGGCTCGGAAACTCGAGCCGCTTGGTGCTGGCGGTGGCCCAAGGCCTCGAGCTGCAGCGCCAAGCAGTGGACCTCTCTTGTGAGCGCTGCAGAAGAAAAGCAACGTATAGGGCTCTTGATAAACGTGTGAGGCAGGACCACGTCTGATGTGTGGGCTTGGTTCAAAGATGGCTGGAGAGCTGTGGCGAGCTGTATTTTGCCACGACTTGGCTCCCTTGATGTCTGTGGCGTGCACTACCAGCTGCTGCTACTAGTAGGATACCGCAAGACTGACCCGCTTTAACAAGCTGCATCACGAGCCAGGAGGCTTAAATTGTTGGAGTTCATTTGGAGCTTTGTAGCATCTCATGCTCTCCGTCTTGAGCAGCAGTGCTGTCCACCTCAGTGAGGAGCTGTGCTCCTGGCTTGCTTTCGGGGCACAGAGTGGGAATGAGGGGAGAGAGAGCCGGAGAGAAAGACAGACTGTGGTGTGGCAAATATCTGAGCAGCAGGACAGCACAAAGCGGCCCCACCACGTGGGCACGACGTGCAGCAGCAGAAAGAAGAGGGAACCTAGGCCTAGACCCATCAAACAGAGGCTTCGCTGGCTTAGCCGACGACTTCCCTCCTTTTTCCTGGTTTCACCAGCTCTCCTGCAGTTGCCTTCTGAGCTCAGTCGGTGTAACGAGCATGGTCATCCATGCCTCCTGGAAGCAAGCCCATGGAATTATGTTGACGTTCTCAAGAGAGGAAGGCGCTCCAAGCAAGGCTGAAGTGAGATGGAGGGACTGTCGTGCTGTGTGTGGTATCACACAACACGTAGTTTCAGGCTCGGACAGTAGAGGGCGATACTGAGCTGCCAGGCACCGCACGCGGCAGGACCAAGCGGTTGCTGAGCTTTGTGGGAAGCCCGCCATCGCGCACCGCCCCCTGGGTAGGATCTCGTGGCTGCACGCTGCGAAGCAGCACAACTGGTCGGGTCCCAAGAGAGCCAGACTCATGGGGAGGTGCAGGCAGCCTGCTTTGAGGCAGCGGCACTACAGCAGAAAAGGACATGGGTGGCACAGCACTTGGAGTCGGTTTTCAAGGCCTTTGGTCTTAGAAGCTCGCAAGGCCGCTGCAGGGTCTTTAAGCAGAGACTGTGAAGGTGCTCCAACAGCGCAACGAGCGGCTGCTGCAAAGCTTGGCTTTCCATGGGATGATAATGGCTCGGAGCTATAGCCAGGCGGGTTCCTAGCTTCGCATTCTGTGCGTTCTGCTTTTGCGGAAGATGAACGATGAAGGTATGGCGCCGGTCGGCGTCTGCTGGTGTGGCCGCTCGAAGAGGGGGTATGACAAGCCTGGTTTCGGCAAGACTGCGAAGCGCACTTTGTCCCCAGGCTGAGTCGCCAACCGCCCCAAGCAGTCCTTCCCGCCGCAGTCCAGGTCAGGTGGCCTGTTTGGCCGCAAGAGGGCATGTTGCCGATGCCAGGCAGATCAACAGCGTGGCAGTGGCTCTGGCAGAAGAAGGCGCACGGTGCCAGCATTCCCCATAGACATACCCTACCCACATACCTATTAAGGTACCTGCGTATAGGCAGACCGACAGACAGACAGACAGGAGAGACCAAAATTGTAGAGCTGAGTTCTGAATCGCTTTTTGTGTGGTCCCGTCCCCGAAACACTTCTAGAAGTCGGGGAAACGTTTTCAGGCAACACCCGTGCTTGGACGATAGCTACGGCCCATATGGCTATGGAACATGCCTGAAGGCAGCTTTTTCGTTGATGAAAACCTCGACCACTTCATCCGTGTACAACGATGATGATCGAACGGGCGCATCGCAAAGTTTGATCAACAAGTTCAGTGCCGCTTATCAGGGTTATCAAGGATTGCGAAGAGACGGTCAGACAATAAATCAACCCCCCGAATGCTGTTATGATTTCGTCATTTGGCGCGGCTCCGTGGCCGCAAACTCGAAATCTACGGAGATTATTTCTCGGGCAGCTGTTGATGAAGCTCGCCGTGTTGATCTGAATACATCGGCGTGGTTGACATATAACATCATATAGCCGTTACCTGTCCACGTGCCGCGTGAGGTATGACTGACCGATGGGAAGTTGTTTTGTCATGATGGTTGGCGCACTGTTCTGATGTTACCATTGCGATTAGCTCCGCCCCACTCCTGCTTACACGCTGTTGGCATGAGTAAACATTCGCATAAAGCGAACCCCGAAGAGCCTCCGAAGCTCCCCGAAAACCCTTGGGAGGTCTTTGGCCTGTGGCGCCGGGGCGCCGAGGTCGCCCGAAGGGACAGGCACAGCGACGAGCACCGCGCGGAGCCAGTGGCCCAGAGCTCTTCGGGGGGAGGAGCGAAGAGGCGGCTGCGTAAGAAACACAGCTATAGAAGCGACGTAGTCAGTCGAGTCATCCTCCTAGTTTGTCATGCAGCATACTTGTCTTAGGTGGTTTCAGGAGCATGGCAAGAACATGCGATTGAGTAGTTATTCGCGGTAGAAACTGCAACTTGGGTAGACACAACAATGACATGCGTGCATGCGTAGCCTATGAATCCATCCATCGATCCACCCATCTACCCATCCACCCAGCCACCCAGCCACCCAGCCACCCAGCCACCCGCCCAGCCATGCACCGACCCAGCCAGCCAGCCAGCCAGCCACCCTCTCACCCACCCATCTATCCATCTATCGATTTGTCCAGCTGTCTGTCGGTCTGCCTATCTCTCTATCGCTCCATCTATCCATCTATCTATCCATCTACCTAGCTATCTTTCTGTCTGTCTGTCTGTCTGTCTGTCTGTCTGTCTTAGCTAGCTATCTAGCTAGCTATCTATCTAACTAGCTACCTACCTATCTACCTATCTACCTATCTACCTATCTACCTATCTACTTATCTACCTATCTACCTATCTACTTATCTACCTATCTACCTACCTACCTACCTACCTACCTACCTATCTATCTATCTATCTATCTATCTAGCTATATATCTGTCTATCTATTTATCTATCTTTCTGTCGTGTCGTATCGTGTCGTAGCTCAGCGTATCTCATCTTATCTTATCTTGTCTTGTCTTG